GCGTGCGCTCCCTCTCCCCCTCTCTCTCTCTCTCTCTCTCTCTCTCTCTCTCTCTCTCTCTCTCTCGCACGCACATCACAAACAGCATGTGAGCTCTGGAGGGGCCAAGGACATACTGAGCCTTCCTCCCTTTGCACTGCATTTAGCCCCAAGACACAGGGCCTGGTGAAGGTGGACACTGGCCTCCCCTAAGCAACAGTGCAGACTGCTTCTGGTTTCATGCCTTCCTGTGGTCCATGTAACTAACGCATGCCAGAGCCATTTCCTGCCTTACTGAGTAGAATATATTGAATAAAAGCATGTCCTCTGATGATTCAAGACCTCACAAGGTCTCCGTGTTTGAAAATATCCTGTTTCATCCATGCACCGGATACAGCACCAGCTCCAACCGTAGCCCGCATGGGCCAGGCGGGCTGGTTAGCCCCAGAGCGGAGGACCCGAATTCCTGAACGCACTTAGCGTGCATGTTCCAAATGCAGAAATAGTCCGCATGTGGACAAACGAGGTGCTTCTGTCCTGCTTTCCCTTGGAACATTGGCCTTTACAGTCTAACACTGCTTTTTTGACTGCTGAAAGAGATTTGAGCTCAAGAAATATTGCATCAGTCTTTTCACGATGAACGGAAACCCAAAAGCAGTTCAGTTGATGACTGAGCCCAGCCTGTGGTGCCCACACTATCCCATCGCCACACCAGTAACAGTCTGCGTCTACCAAGCACTTTCTATATGTCAGGCACCGTGTCAAGCCCTTGACACGCAACGTTTCCTTTCATTGTCCTAACCTCCCTATGAAATAGGCACTGAGACTGGGCCATTTCTCAGGTACAAGCTAAAGCAGCCTTTGCTGAGCCGGAGATGGAAGAAGTCGTGGTTTGGGAAGCTACAGATGGAGTGGCAGATGGGAAGTGAAGGCCTATCAGAGTTGCCCAGGATAAAACCATTGGTCTGCAAAACTCATATGTTTTTGTGTGGGGCAACTTTGTGAAAACAACAGCAAGAGGAAGCAGCAGTGCCTGATGCATGACATGCCTCTGGCCACCAGGCTGGCAAAGCACAGTGGACAGAAGAACTGGGGGAGGGGGCACGGAAATGAGAACAGAGAAAGACAGAGAGACAGAGACGCAGAGACCCAGAGCGTGAAGCTAAAAAGTTAGAAATATGATGACTCTCTTCCCCGAATCCCCAAATAGGTGGGGCACACAGTCTAAGGAAGGACTTCTGGGCCCCTCAGATATGAGGCTCAGCCTCACACACAACGGAATTGACTGTGGACATTGACTGGGCGCTTTCTAAGTGCTCAACACTCTGCTGGTTGCATTGCTACAATCTGATCTCACAAAGACTGAATTTACTTCTGATGGTTTTAGTTCTGCCAGTGAAGTGGCAGAACTCAGACTCAAACCTTGGCCACCTGCCGAGAGTCGGAGCACTCATCCTCTTGGAAGCTGAAATGCTAGAAATTCTGATAACCGGGCAGAGCAGCCTTAGTTAAGTGGTGATGGTTGGTTATGGTGTCAACTTGCAAGTCAACACAAAGCCTCTAGAGGGCAGTCTCCAGACCTGGCATGAATCTCCTGGGAAGGTCCAGGGGCCTGGCCACACCTAACTGATCTCAAGAGGTCTCTGGCCGAGTTCCGCCACCTAACCTAGGCTGAAATGATCTCTAGGGCCTCCCCGGGAGGCCTGGAAGAAAGTGTGGTAATCTTGATTCTAGCTAGTCAGACTCGGGGACAATAGGTGACCTTTCCTCATGAGATTTCCTGCTGCCAGGTGGTGCAATCACATGCCTGCCCAGCCTGGAGTTTGAGGAGCTGCTATGCTCTCTAGGCGGCCTGGGGCCATCCCTCCACTCTGGGCCAGCTGACATCCCCAGGAACCAACTTCAAGCAGAAAGAATACCAACTTTAGGGCCAGACAGAACTGGTTCTAATCCCCAGCCTGCCATGTATTCTGTACAGCTTGCCTTTCAATAAAGCAGGTTTGCTTTGAGGACTGAAGGAAGCACCTCCCGCATCAGCAGCTACACACGTTAGGATATTTCTGAACTCAGCCCTTCCTTGGAAGATGGAGGAGAATGTTCTAACTCATCTTGCCCTGTCCCTTGCTAACTCACCTCTCCTCGTTCTTTTATTACACTCTGTTTCAATTTCTCTAACGCATCCAGTTCACCTTTCACCCAAGTCTTATCCAGGCTGTCCTTTCTCCCAGGAACTGAGAGTGATGCTGCCCTGAGGGAAACAGCAACTGGGGATGTTTGTGGTTGTCACGGTGCCCGGGGTGGGGAGGAGCATCTGGTGGGTGGAGGCCAGGGATACTGCTAAACACCCTACAGTGCCCAGGACAGCCCCATCAGCATGGAATGCTCCAGCCCATTATGCCAATAGTGCCCAGGTTGGGAAATCCTAGACTAGAATGACTTTTCTCTCATTTGCTTGCCAATCTTTTTTTTTTTTTTAATCCTCCCCTGAGGCTAAGTTTATTGATTTTGGAGAGAGAGGAAGGGAGAAAGAGTGAGAGAGAAACATCAATGGTTGCCTCCTGCATTCGCCCCAACCAGGAATCCAATCTAAAGCCCATTGGTGTATAGGATAATGCTCTAACCAACCAAGCCACCTGGTCAGAGCTGATAATCCCTTCTTACCCCCAGGTCTCAACTCAAAACTGCACATTCAAAGGCCTGTCTGATGTCCTGATTTTGCCCCTTAGCGCTCTGACCATCTGCTGCTTCCTCTTGATGGCCCTGTCACACCTTGCATGATGCCTCTTTTACATGATAATTTGATTCCTTCTAGGGTACCACCAGGTAGGGGCTGTGTGGCTTTTATTCACTAAATGCCCAAATGATGCGTAGCATGGTAATTGCTTAATAAACCTTGAATGAATGTTTGAATGAATAAGTAAATAAAAACCTGCCAGTGATGTTTTAAAATCACTTTTTCCCCCCTGCTATCCTTCAAACAAAAGAAAATAACCCCTATCATCTTTCTCAGGTTCAAGGGTGTCAGGTACATTTTGCCTAAAATGAGCAAAGACTGTGCCTCCCCCAGGTCTCCTCCCAAGTCCAGGGTCCCCTGGCAGATGATGGGATGCCACCAAGCCTAGAACTAAAAAGGTGGTCACTTTAAATAGAGGCCTTCCTTCCACGCCTGTGTCTCATCTAGATTCTCACTCAAAACCCAAACTCCGGGGCATGTGTGGCCTCGCTATTTAATGACTTAGGAGTGACTGCTGAATGTTTTAGATGTCATAATCATATTGATGTTATGTTCAAAGAGAGATATATACTGGAATGTTTATAGATACGATTTGAAGATGCCTTGGAAATGGTTCACGGGGCGGAGAGAGCGGTAAGGGAGGAAGAGACATGAGCACAGACATTACCAGCCTGTCACGAATTGATTATCTTTGAAACCGGGTGATGTATAAGTAGGGGTTCCTTATATTAGTCTCGGCACTCTTGTGCACATTTGAAAATCGCCCTGATAAAAGAGTGAGTGAGTTCTTTTAAGATCCCTTCATTTCTGGGAATGCTGTTCAGTGTCCTCAAGGCATCAGGAGGAGGAAGACCCTCTGCTTCACACACTGTCCCCCTCCCCGTCCACTCACTTCTGCCTCTCAGCCTCCTCAATAAATCAGGATGGAAGACATGGCTGAGCATAGAGCTGCCGTCTTATTAGGAAATAGACCTCAGCCCTAGACGGTTTGGCTCAGTGGATAGAGCATCGGCCTGCAGACTGAAGGGTCCCAGGTTCAATTCCAGCCAAGGGCATGTGCCCGGGTTGTGGGCTCGATCCCCAGTGGGGGTCATGCAGGGAGCAGCCAATCAATGATTCTCTCTCATCATTGATGGTTCTTTCTCTTTCTCCCTCTCCCTCAATGAAATCAATAAAAGAAATATATTTTTTAAAAAAGAAATAGACTTCATTTTCCTTGCCCTTTTCCTTTGTAGTCTCTGGAGGGGTTTTCTTTGCTTATGGTCTATTTTACGGAGCAGATCTGTGCTCAGGGACCTTCCTGTAGCATCTCCACCACCTCGGGGCTGCAGACTGCGGGCTGCTCTATCTGCCCCACGCGACCGTGGCCAAGCAGGCGGCAGGCTGAGTGGGAAGACCGAGAGAAGCTCAAAATCTGTAGTTTCACATGAAACTTCCCAATTAAAACATGCAGACAATCAATTTGCTTGTTAAAATTTGTTAGGAGCCAAAGCATAAAATCCAAGACACCCAAGGTCCTCGGATAGCCCAAAGACACCCACATATCTGTGACTGTCCCTGAACTGTCGCACCGATCCTCTTTCCCCCCTCTCTGCCCCTCCTGGTTTAACTCTGATGCCACACCTTCTCCTCCTCTGCTCAGAACATACCAGCGGTTCCCATCTTGCTTGCATGACAGCCAAATTCTGGAATCTCTACAATCTCACCCCGAGTTGCTCTCTGCTCTTCTGTCTCTTACTCCCCTACGCTTCACTTAGTCTGTTCCAGCCACACTGAGCCCCACTGTTCCTTGGACACACCAGGTGTGTTTCCACCCCAGGGCTCTGCACCTTCTGTTCCCTGTTCCAGGACCACTTTCCCTGCCTGAGCGACTCATTCCTCTTTCCTTTTCCATTCCACCCAGTGAGGGCAGTCCTGGTCACGCTGGTTAAAATTCCAACTCTCCCCTGTGTCCTCTTGGCTTTGCTTTTCCCGTGCACCATTTGACTTATTTGTTATTTGTCTCCCTGACTTGACTGGAAGCTCCATGTGGGGAAGGGTGACAGTCGCTTTAGTGTTTCCTCAAACAGAGCGGGAAAAACTGCATATGCAACAAATATCTGTTGAATGAATGAATGCGTGAATGTGAAAATGATGCTCAGGTCCAGTGTGGATCCTATGCTGAGGCATCTGTGAAGGCAGCGCATGAGCAGACGCTGCTCTGCAGAGGAGGTAAAACGCTAAGACCAGAAAGGGTGGGAGGGAGTGGGACCTCGGCGCAGGCCGCTGGGGCTGAGGGCCGCCTTACCTGATGGGGTAGTCGGCAGCGCTGAGGTTGATAAAGAAGTCCCAGGGCCAGTCGGCCATCTCCAGCAGGTCCCGCATGCTCTGCAGGTAGGTGGCCAGGAGGCTGGCGCCGCCCCAGATGGTGGCCATCCGCCAGGGCGTGACGCGGACGTTGCCGTACTGCCGGGCGAACTGGAGCACTTGGCGGTGCAGGTAGTTGGAGCGCTTTGTCCCAGGAGAGAAAGGGGTGACGTTCAGCAGCCCAGAAAACACCCAGACATGCCCCTTGCCCCTTCTCTGTCCCTTCCCTTCTAGGTGGCTGGGTTGGGTTTCTGAATGTTGCCCAGTAGCTGATTCGGGTTGGGGGCATTCTTTCTACGTGGCCATTCGAACATTTATTATTGTTTACATTTTACGTTAGTTATTTTAGGTGCAGATTCCCCGGCCCCATCCTCTGACCTACGGGTCACTAGGAGCCCGGGGCTCTGCATTTGTATACAGATGGAGGCATGAGGTCTGAGGATAGCAAGCGGTGAAATACGGCTGTATCGAAGCCTGAGGGGTATTGTGAGGAGTGGAATGTCTCCATCCCCCTCTCACAGGCCCGCCAGAAGCAGATCCTTTGCCTCTTGAGTAAGGACGTAATCATGTCACACTCCAGGCAAAGAGAAACCCCTGGGACAAGATAGTTCAGGGGTCAGCAGGCGTGCTGCGGGGGTTTTATAAATAAAGTTTTATTGGACACCGCCACACACATTCATTACTCATTTACGTGTTGTTTATGGCTGCTTTCACATGACAACAGCAGAGCTGAGCAGCTGCGACAGAGCGGGTATGGCCTTCAAGCCTAAAATCTTTCTATATGGCCCTTCATAGGAAAAGCGTGCCTACGCCTGGGATAGCTCTCCTCACAGAGCGGCAGGCAGTGTACTGGGCAGTGGGACAGTGAGGAAAAGAGGGAAGAAACCAGTATTTATGGAGACTGTCATAAACACTCACACACACACACACACACACACACACACACACACACACACGTTCTAGGAGAGGTCGCTGCTCAGCCTATTCGCCTTCCCTGAAAGGGAGGCTGGCTTGCAGAGGGGCAGAGGGACCCGCAGAGAAAGGCCAGCGGGAGGTGACCGGCCGGGGGCTCACCTTGTCCACGTGGATGTAGTAGAAGTGGTCTTTGTGGTAGATGGCCTTGAACATGCGCTGCAGCTGCCGGGAGGCGCGGCCATGCACCACCAGGACGAAAGCGATCCGGACCGGGTTGGCCAGCATGTACTCCACGGAGTCCTCGTCCCACTGGACGTTCTTGTTGGCTTTGCCTGAGGAAAACCGGAAAGATCGCAGAGGTGGGTGAGGCTCAGCGGCTCCTGTCGGGGGCAGGTTCTCTGATGCTTCGTCTTGTGTGACTGGGCCGGGGCACCACAGTCACACTGGGCCCTGAAACCTGGTTCAGCATAACCAAGCGTGTCCTGGACCCTTATGCTTTCCTGGTGCAATAGGAGTGGGGGGACTGTGAGGTGCTTATGTCACAATTTCCGTCCCCAAGGAGCTTTAAAGAGCTGATGGAGACACAGGTACACATATTAAACTATCGAACAGGAGGAGATAAGAGGCATAAGGGATGCATCTCTGAACCACAGAGGAGGAGAAGTTACCTCTGAGCTGGAAAATTTAAGATACCTGTCTTACCCATCCGTCCAAGTCTATTCTCCTGTTTCCTCTGAAAAGCATCCATTCAAAAATAAAAAAAATAAAAAAATGGCGGTGAGAACAGGTAACAGGAGATCTACCTTCTTATCAAAATTTTAAGAGCTCTGTAGAGTCTTGTCAATTACAAACACAATGCTGTACAGAAGGTCTTTAGAACTTATTCCTCTTGCATAGCGAAAAGTCTCAGCCAGTATTTTGAGAGGCATCACCCCCTCTCCTCCAATCTCAGTCCACATGGATGAGGAGGACCTCCCTCCATTATCAAATTCAGGGGCATTCACAGAATTTTGGCTTGGCTAGTTCAAACACTGCATCTCCCTGGCCATAGTTTGCATGATGCAGAGGTAAGCATGTAACCCAACCAAGCTAATTAGCTCCAAACAGAATTCTACACTTCTGTTGAGACAACTAAATAAGAGATGCTCATTTTTTTGGTGCACACAAAACTGGGGGGTCCTAAAAGCACATTTGTCCCCACATGGAGGCTGCCTGAGAGGGCCCAACACAGAAGCAGCACTGCCGAGTGAGGGAGAGGGCTAGAGCCCGAGGACCCGCTGGAGCTCCTACATCAGCCAGCTGGAGATGGGCCACCGTCAGCCACATCCTAGTTTTCTTTGCAAGCCTGGATCCTACACCAGACCCATCTGGATAAATGGCTCCAGATGTTTTGTTTTTGGTCCCAGATGCAGCTCAGAGAGGCTGTTTTCCCCTGCAAACACACCAGGGGCAAGGTTTCAAGGAGAAACACAGCCACTGGCTTAGTAGTTCATTACAATTCCAGCTGGAGATCTCCCGGCTTTCTTCAGCCTGATTCCCTTTGAGTCTAACCTGATTTCTTGTGGGTTCGAGGTTAATGGGACCAGAACCATTGTCAGGGCATTCACGGCATGTATCCCAGAATGTCAATGGGGAAAGCGGAGAACTGGGAGTGTGTAGCCTGGAGGTCGGGAGATTGGGAGCCTGTCCGCTGCCACCAGAAAGCGGAAGGAACAAGGCACCTTCTACGTAGTTCCAGAAGACAGGAGGAGATGAGCATGGCTAATGTTCAAGTCACACGGCCCAGCCTCCACACCTACGTGATCTGCTTCCTGCAGACCTGGGTGCCTTGATTGGCAGGCTCTGCTACTACTACTTACCTCGCCCCCGGACCCTTTTCTATCTTTACTTGAGGTGTTTGTCTCAGCGCCTTTTCACGGGCTATTCTTGCTCCTGGAACACCCTTTCCTTAGCTCTTTACATGGCTGCTTCTTCCTGTCATTAGTTCACAGATCAATAAAAGACCACCTCACCCTGCCCCCAGCAAGGTGACTCTCCTTCACCTCACCCTATTTCAGTTTCCTGCATAGCATTTAGCACTGCCTGAAATCGTTTATTCATTTACTTGTTTATTGTTTAAATATTCCACTAGAACATAAACTACAAGAGATGAGGGACCATTTAGCCTCGTGTGTCATTAAATACACAACACGATGGCACACCGTATTCTTGGTGGAAAAAAGAAGTTACAGGAGGGTGTGTTTGGTTCAGTGCCATAATAATAGCAATAGAGTTTGCTGAGCACTGATCAGCCCTTGCCATTCATTATTTCATGTAACCCTCATAACAACCCTGCACCATGACATTATTTCCATTTTGCAAATGTGGAAACCACAGCTTAGAGAGGCCAAGGGATTTATTTGTTCAAGGTCACACTGCTTTAATTAGTTCAGCTGAGATTCAAACCCAGGTCTGTTTTCAGAGTCTAAGCCCTTACCTACTAATATATACTACATCACCATACCCAGAATTTGGGAAAGTTTACAATTTTTCTTGTTAGTTAATGAAAATACCTTTGAGTTACTACAGGTAAATAGGCATGCATTTGAGGACTATCAGAGGCACTGCAGGGCAGATTGCTGTATCATGTGAAAAGCTGACTCTAGTCTTCGTTATGGGCACATGTTTCCTTCCTTCCATCCATCCATCCATTCATCTATCCATCCAGTCATCTATCCATCCAGTCATCTATCCATCCATCCAAATCTAACCAATCACCCAGAAACCATTCAACAACCCATCTAGCAAAGCATTCAACAGCTTATTATAAAAAATATACCAATCATCTATTCATCCATCCATCCAACCACCCATCACCTTTAAAACCAATCATCCATCCATCCATCCACCCACTCATCCATCCACTCATCCAGCATGCTCAAAGCAAATCATCCGTGAATCTACTCTTCAACCATCTAACTATCAACTTGTTGATCCATGCAATATTAACTTAGCTTTTACCACATTATTAGGTCTGAGCTAGGTTCTAGAAAAATAAGCTTTTTGGGGGGATGGGGGGGAAAAGAGGGGAATCCTTGCTTTTGAGGAGTTCTCAGCCAACTTGGGAAAACAGAAGACAATGCTCAATTGTTTTACAATAGAAGTGTGTTCAGGCTGCTCTTGGAGGCTGGGGAAGAAGGGGACAGTCTGTTTGCAGGGACAGAGGAGACCTCAGAGAGTGTAGCCCAAAGCTTCTGAGCCCATTTCTCCATGCTCTCCGGATGAGTCCTAAGGTCTTTGACTATTGGCTGTTCAATCAGTAGCTATGATCCTGAGGATAATTATCCTTGTGGCTTTGGTTGAAGACAGAATGGGCAGTAACCAGGGGGGGTCTCCTCACCACCCTCTAATCTTCTCTCCAAGCCAATCACAAGACACGGGGCTTTTGTGGTGATCATTCAGGGGGTTGGGGGGGGGGGGAGGAGAGTATGCCTGGAGAGATCATGTCCCTTTAAACACTCATACAACCATCCATCCATCCAATCAACCATGAAGTATCCTTAAAAAACCTCCTACCTGCCACTCTTGGACAAGGCCTGGAGGACAAAGACATGTAGAACATGAGCTTGTTTTCACAGATGCATTATAAATGGATTAAAGAATGTGAGAATCCAAAGTAAAAAGATAATATATGAGTAAAGCTTATATTCTCTCCCCAAGACCTCAGCCCAAAGGCCGTGAACGGGCCTTTGCCATACTGGGCGTGACCTCTCCTTGCCCCTGGGGGACCCTTTATCAAACAAAGGGAGGGGCACTTAAAAGCAACAGCTACTTGTGCCACTTTTTTCCACCTGGATTTCACTGGGTGGTTTTTCAAAGGTCTCACCATAGTCCATGACACTGTCTTTCATAGGAAGTCCCCTCTGTAGGGGCTCCTGCTGTACTCAGATGACACTGCTCATCCCTGCCCCAAGGTCTCTGGGTAACAATGAATCTGGAGTCCTTAGCAACTGAGACTCACAGGGCCTTCGGGATCAGCCTGTGTTCTCTCCAACCACAATGTCTCTTGTCATGACTGTTTTTTTTTTAATTTATGTCAGAGAGAGGAAGAAAGAGAGGGATAGAAACATCAATGATGAGAGAGAATCATTGATCAGCTGCCTCCTGCATGCCCCACACTGGAATCCAGCCTGCAACCTGGGTATGTGTCCTGACCAGGAATTGAACCATGACTTCCTGGTTCATGGGTCGATGCTCAACCACTGAGCCACACTGGCGGGCTCTTGCCATGCTTGTTGAGTGAACGAATGAACAAGTGGGTGGATGTGCTCTGGTCCAGAAAGGGTGACTTGCCTGCAGGCCTGCTGTGCTCCAGCCTGTGCCAGAGGCTGCATCAGTGCCCCTTGGCTTTGGACGGAAGGCACTGCCAGGTTCTGAGGCTCAGAGAGGTTGGGGCTTTTGTTCTGGTCACACAGTGCGTGAGGCCAGAGGTGGGAGTGAAAGCTGGGAGTGGCTGAGCCGAGTGCTGACCTTGCCCCCTCCAGCCTACCCTCTCCTGAAGCTAAGAGCAGGGAGACGGGAGGACCGGCATGACAATTCTGGTCTTTAGAGGGACTTGCATGTTGATGCTGAGAAGGGCCCTTTGCAATGTCTCAGTAGGGTTTTAGGACGTGGGGGAGGTGCAAAGATGGACAGACACAAAGGAGGTTGCTGCCCTCTGGAGGGGGAGGGAGCCTGGGAAATCGAACACTCCCACTCAGCCTCCTCCATTTAAAAATATACAGTCCCCGTGGACCAGGCGGCTGGCCTGGAGAGCAGCAAAGACACGAGGGAATAACACCCAGAGTTCCTCTGGAGGACAGCTATTTTGGGGATTAGGGGAGGTGAGAAGGAGCAAAAACATCCAAAGAAAGGACACACACACACACACACACACACACACAGGGACAGATGGAGATGGTGATGAGAGGCAGAAACAGAGTGACAGATGAGAGAGAGAGAGAGAGAGAGAGAGAGAGAGAGAGAGAGAGAGAGAGAAAGAGAAAGAGAGACCGAGAAACAGAGGCAAAAAGACAGATGGATAGAAAAAGAGAAATGATGGATGGATACACAGATGATAGCAAATGAGCAGGAATAGAGATGGAGAAAGCCCACACACACATTGAGAACAAACCATGGAGACCTGAGGACAGAAAGCCCTCCCCCTTACTCCCACATACGGAGAGAGACATATAGAGACCTAAACAGAAACCCTGAGAAAGACAGACATATGCAGGTATAAATAGAGACAAACATATAATCAGACACACACACACAGACAGGAAGAGGCAGAGGGGCAGTCACATTAAAAAAG